GCAAACCGTTCCTATACAGTACTAGTGACTACATCTGCCTCGAAACACTGACGTCAGCGTGGCAAGAAAACGCCATAGTTCAACCGAGTCTGCACAGAATGGCGCCTTCTACACTCAGCCCTAGATATCAAAGTCAAAATGATCCGCGCCAGCGCCTCGTCAACATCATTTCGGGACGAGACATGGAGCCTGTTCTGAGCTGTCACGACTTGTATTAGCACAGAGCAAGGGGTGTATAAAGTTGGTTCAATTTAGCTTGAACTGACCTATGGAAAAGAGATGGGGAAAATTGACTTACCAATTGAATGTGAGACACACTTGATAAAGCACATGGTTGAGTCCTGGAGAGTGCTGACACCACCTATAGTCTCGTGATATTGGCGTAGGGATCAATCCACTACTAGACCTAACGCGAGACTTGACTTCCAGGTCTTATGGAAGGTTCGGATCCTGTTCTGCAAGCACCATCACTTTCCTGACATGTCTGTCGGCACAGAGTTGCTCCGCGTGAATTTGGGTGGGGGTGCGCGTAGGAGAGTCCTCTTACACGAAACTGAAGCTATCGTCTGCCCTGTTGACACCGACACCGCGCCCTACTGGAATTTTTGTGCCAGATTCTCACATGCCCAGGAAGAAAAAGTAGACTGAAAACTCCGAAGAGGTTTGGTACGGTGCATACATGTCGCTTTTTGTTGCTCCTATCCCTGTGTCGCCTTACTGTGGTACAATGGATGATTTCAGCTCCCGGCTCTGGGCTTCGCGAAGCGGTTTACCTGTCAGCATTTTTGGCTGCTGAGAGAATCGAGGAGATGCGCCGCAGATACTCAGTACAGGGTTTAGCCTTGACTTGCAGCTACAGTATTGGCGAACCCTACTAGGTTGTGACCTTCCTTTGTATCTCGGCGTGAATGTAGTGTTGACGGCCGAAAGACGTAAACGACTGCTGGGTACAGGAACCAAAGAGACGGTTTCCGCCTTCCACAGGCTGTGGACAGGCTACAATCAGACTGACATCAAAAGCGCACTTCCTGTCGCAAGCAGTAACCTGATACACAGGCTATCCCGATCGTAGCCTTACCTGGTCGCTTTGCACCGAAATTCACTTGGATGTCACCATGAGGCCCTGAAAAGGAACCGGTCTAGATTTTGCGCTCTGTTTTTCATTCTCGCGACGCGTCCAGTTCCATTTCTCGACAGGTGGGATTAATTTCAACCTCCAAGTGCTTCTCGGAGAAGCGGAAACGGACAGTACCATGCATCGAGGACCGCAAGCAGAATGTTCGCCTTCGTAGAGATGTGGCCTCAGTCCTCATTTCCACAGGTGAAGTGTTCTTCCACCACACTATTATACAGTACATAGTATTAGGCATGCGTCGCTTCCTCTTGGCAGTACACTTCATCTTCTTGGACTTGACCCACACAGGCTGGGCCCAGAGTCGTTCTCACTACATACATGCGACCACGATCAGATGTGCGAGAATGACTGGTATCGAAGCCGGTTATGGATACTTTGGAGTAGCTCTTGATTACGCGCTGCCCCTCACACTGTCTGTCGTACAACCATCCTGACCCCACATTTTGGTTTGCAAACCAACCGCTACAGCCATTACCAGAGGTTTGCGCACGCCCATCACAGCAACTTTTGGCTTCTCAAGTATTGAAAATGTTTGCGAGAGAGGAAGTGACTTGTGATCAATAAAGTACATCGTACAGGGGGATCTCGGGATATAATTGGCCCTTTCATGGGGTCACAGTTGGTAATCGGCAGCACAGCTCCTGGGCGGCTAGACTTTCCGAGCAGCTAGACGGGTAAAGTCCGAGATCCACCGCACAAGTTGCCGAGAAGACGTGAGGAGAGCATTTCGTGACTGAGATGCACATCATGGCAACGTAGCTAGTGACGGGGATGTCGCATATTTCGCACGGCGTCAAATTAGTGTCCCGCGACGGAGCGACCGTTGGGCCTTTCGATGCGTGAAGTGGTCGCTTGTTGCCGCTACATGTTTCCGGCCGAGTTTCATGAGCTCGATGTCGATTGGTCACTGCCTATTTCTATCCGTATTGTACCTGCCTCGTTTGGACTGTGCACGCTGCCGGGCGGCTTCCGCGGTATTGGCACATTACATTCGTGACTTCTTCCTACCTGAAGACGCAGATCGCCAATATCCATCTTTCTCCGATCTGGAGCATAACAGAGTATGTCAAACCCGATGCACCGGCGCGCCTGATATTGAACGATATCAAGTATATATAAGCGCACCTGGACGTCGGGAGTTAACTGAAATGGCTCTAACCATTCAACTCTTCAGCTACATCCTATCAGTAGCTGCCCCTTTCGGAAACCATGTCGACTACCACCCGAATTCTAGTTGCTAGCTTGCTGTCTGAAGAGCCGTCCCATCAGGGGCAATCGCATGCGCAAAAGGATCAACTGCCAGACTTCGCAGTACTGGACACGTTGTTACCTGAGCCCCCGTCCACTCCATCATCTGATGGAGAGACTCACTCGTGCGCTGACCAATCTCCTCGCCATTCTCACCACAACGCCGCCGCAGCTTCATTACTGTCGCCTGCGGAAGTGTGGTACTCTCGAAATCCCTTACTGTCAGACACCACTTCACTGCTCAATATACCCTTGAAGTACCTAGATGCGTGCGTTGCATCAATGGATCTCCTGGAGGCGACATTCGACAGGCCGACACGCGCCAGGGGGAATGAACATATGGCTCCAGCTTCCTTCTCATCATATCCCATTTTATCGCACGTGGATGAAACATTCAGCAGGTATCTATCACTTTATCCGCTCTCCGGCAGTTTCTAACTTGGACAGTGCGGGCTTCGCTGGCACTTCTCGTTTGACCGAACGACAGATCATTGAAAACTCGGATTCAGTCTTCCCAGACCTGGGCTCATGGTCCGATTTGCAGCCGGTAATGATAGACTCACGACACGCCACTCCGAGCACAATGGTCGATCTCAACATCCCCTTTGAGTGCCTCACAATGCAATCTTATCAGCTTGAGAGCACTGGCACTATGCAAGCCTACAATTTTCCAACCGCAGTTGTCGACATCGATTATGCGGCTCAAGACTGTGTCGCTTGGCCTCAGGCTCAGTGGCTTTCTGCAGGTTGGGGATGTTCTTGTGGCTTCGAAGGATGTCGGACTCGAACCACGGAGCTGCCGATGTACTTACAGCATGGTCTGGGCGATGAGGAAGTGTCTTATTCACCATTCTGCGCATCAGGCTATGGCAACGACTTCTCGTCTCAGGGCTACTTGTAATTTTCACACAAGGGACTGATGCCTGCGCTCCTACGTCTCTCGCTCGACAGGCTGCCATCTTGAGCGAATGGGAGAGCTGACTGTAGCGATTGCGAGTGACTATGGGCCGGGGCGGTTGGTGATCTCACAAGCTAGGCGTGATCAAAAGGCAACGCAGATAAGATTAGGGCAACGACGAAGTCACTACGAAAGTAGGTTGCCTTTCGATAGCTTTCTGGCTTGGCCCTACAAAGTCAATTGCAAGAGCCTCATGATGCATAACAGAGGAAAAGCTGATTACGCCGACCCTACAGTGCAGCAGACAGGGGTGGGCCAAAGAAAAATGTAGATATCAAATAATACGAATATACTATGGTATTTGCCGAATGCCGAAGCAGAACCCCCGTTGCGCGTGACCGCTACCTTAGAAATAGAAGTTTCTCTCCGGACAGAACTATGTCAGTTGATTAACATCTCCTCCATGGTTTAGTAAAGGGCTCGCGACTGCCGCGGAAGACCCTGCTCTCATGAAAATGTCAACGACCTCTTTCGTTAGTTCTTCGATCTTCTGCGTCCTGGGAGTCCGGTCAGTGCTGGAGGTCTGAAGAGCTCCCTGGAAGGCGTACTTCACTACAATCCTCTTGTTTCGGGCTAGCTCTTCATCTTCAGCAGCCGTATAGCCATCCGAGGGCTCTGGGGTTGGGCCACTTGAACCCTGTTAGATTGTTGTATGAACAGAACTCCACATCTCTCACACCGGCAAGCCACACGTACATGATCTCACGAGGGTGCGGGTGACGATCGGGGGCCACTACAGAGCTGCAGGCTGTCACTATCTGATGCCTGTGTGGGCGGGATTGGGGGCTTACGCTGATGGCTGTCCGACGGTTTGGTGGCGGTACGGTGTCTCGCGAAAGCTGCCTTGAGCATACGGGGTGTGTTCCACGGAATGAGCAGCCGAATTTCTAGGTCCCTTTTTCTTCCCGCCTGCAGCCTGTCGGTGATGATTGTGCTGAGGCGGGTGTCCGCCCCGCACCGGGTAGGGCGCCGCCCGCGGAGACGGACGCGGAGGCTTTGAGGGCGGATACCTCTGACTCTGGGCTGGATACATGGCAGGCAGTGGATGTGTGATGGAAGGAGAGAAACTGCATACGCGCACAGAAAGAAACGGAGAAAGTTGTACTCGTAGGGTCCGAAGGAAGACGTCGGATGTCGTTCGGTTTCGTCCAATTCTTAGTGCAGCAGGAGCCGAAGTCATATGTTCTTGCTGGTCGACTTTTATGGCCGCGGAGTCGAAGCAGGTTGCGAGGTAAAGCCAGGTGGGGATGGGCAGCATTGATGGTGCAAACTCTCACCAACCAATCAAACGCGTTACCAACTGTCTGGAACCGACGTTGGAAGTTGCGACAGAGAAAGAGACAAAGCTCCACCTTCCGCGTCATCCGCTATTGGTCCTGCGAACACATCCCAGCTCCAACACGAACCGGCCGCGGCAGACGCCGTCCGGTGGCCGAACCGCCTGTAAGCCCGACTCTTCATTACGTCCGTGACGAAAATGACAACTTGCCTCGCGCCGCGGCGGATCCGCGCCGTCCCGAAGGCGCAGAATCTCACAAGCTCGGGAGAGGGCGTGATACAGCCCGATCGGGAGCGGGCATTAAAAGAGGGCTACTGCCAGTCTTGCAGCACGTTTCCAGAGGCCCCAGCGTGGGACCGGGGATCGCAACAGACGGGTCTTCTAATGAGGATCCTCGGAGGGCCTCAGTTCAGTCCCTTTTTGCCCCCTGCCAGGACGTTGGTTGCAAACATGAATCGTGCAGTGGCCAGGGTTTGGGTGCTAGATCGGCCAGGCACTTCCTGGAAGCGAAGGGCAAGATAAGGCGACGATGCGCAGAGAGCCGTTGGTCTACCGCCATAAATGAGGCTCGTTGGCGGGTTGCAGAAGGGAAGGATCGACGACCTGGCACCGCGATTGTGGGGTTTCCGAGGAAAGCCATGTCCACCGACCGAAAGGCGTCGCTAATTTACGAACGGCCAGACCTGTCGATCCAGAGTCTTTGGCCGGAAGCCGTCGCCAAAAGCGTCGCTTCAAGCACAACGGGCGAGCCCACAATCAAAAACCCGCTTCCAACGCGTGAACCTGCAGCTTCTATGGGGTTGGCTCGAAGTCTATTATAGTGTTGCCTCGTTCGTCGCGTGCCCCGACGGATACAGTGGGACGAGATAGTGGACCCTCACATCCGTCGGGTCTAGGCCTCCAAGACACAGTTAACTCCGCAAGGTCCAAGGTCATCCAGACCAAACGTGTGGCCAGAACGCCCCACGTAGGGATCTCCACTTTCCGCCAGATAGGCGTTGCTCCCACACAAAAGCGGCTGTGACAAAATGGCGCCTACATCCGCGCTCATCTCAGGCGTTGCCTTGTCCAAAAGGTCAGCTACGATAGCTGGTATGGTAGAAAGAGGCTTCGAGGGCAACGGCATAAATTGCGGGCCGGGGCAAGTGGCACAGCCTAGGTATCGGGAACACGGTAATCCCAGTACATACGCCCAGGCATCGAGGCTCCCTAATCGGTAAACCGGACGCTGCCTCCATCCATCACATCTGTTACGAGGCCAGAGATAAAGGTTGGAAGTGCAGTGCAAATAACGAACGCCTTCCCGACAAGAGGGTTCTCGCCCACGCCGTCCACCCTAGGTCGTACCGTCTGCACGTTCAACGTGTGTTCGTCTCTTTGGAGTTCGAAATCGTCTCAAGCGTGTCGCCGCGATCGCCCGGTAAGCCACCCCCGTCTTTGCAATTGTCCACTCACATGATTGACATCTAGTCAGGCTTGCAAAACAGGTCTCAGTCAGCCAACTGGCGGAGCTGCAGCGGACACACCTATCGACGGTGGCAACAGCCCAATTGGCGTCCTGCTTCCTGAAAGGCCCGCGGTACAGACCAGCGATTGCATGCGTCTCCAGGCACCGAAAGCCGTCGCGCCACCCACTCAAAGTTTACTGTTCGAGGAGAGGAACATGGAAGGGCATCCGGACCGCCCAGCGCACAGGGCTAGTCCAATCGGGCTAGGGGCGAGCGACGCCGAGGTGAAGCCACAGGATTGTGGGGTCAACGAGGATATCGCATGGCCTGAGCTTGATCTATTCGTCAGTGACGATCTGGCAGGGCTGGGGAGTCTCGCGGAAGACGACCCGGTCATGCCCGACTGGCTATTTGCAGAAGCGGAGGACGCCGTGCAGACCAACGAGGTACGGGCAATTCCCGACCTCGGCGCAGAGCTTGCTCGTCCGATGAACGCCAGAGATGAGAATTTAGCCAGGTGTCGACTGTTTGAGCGGGTCTCTAGGGAGCTTTGGTCGGCCGAGCAGAGGAAAGTCGGGAGGGAGACGACTGGCCGGCGGTCACCAGGGGATCCGCTTGGCCGGCAGGCCGATGCGTGGTGGGCGGGCAAGGCGGAGCTGTCGGACACCGCAACGGCGTCGGATGAAACGCTGGAAACCGCATGGGTAGACGCGCCGAGTACGGACCGGGTCCGGCTCTGCGTTCCATTCTTCCAGTCTGTCGCCACCCAGTTCCGCCTTCTCAACCAGGGTAGGCCTGAGGGTGCCGGCCGCAGCCCGGACTGGCAGGCGGTAAATGACAGCGGCGGTGGAGGTGACAATCCTCGATGGCCTTCGGTGGCTGAACACAGGAAGCATTCGAGAGGAGCAACTGGCTAAGGCCGAGAGTTATGCTGTCTT